CTCTCCATAGGCGTAATGGTTTTTCTACTGTACCGGGCCGGGTTTCCCGATAAATGGAAGCGTCAGCGCAAGTTCTACTAGGAAGTCTTAATGCTACGTCACATATTACAATTAGATCTAGCCAATCGGCACGCAACACGAGGAATATAAAAGCCCTCTACTCACCCTTCATTGTGCTTGCAGATACTGCCGCTGTCGTTTCCAGCGCAAAGTGTGCTTGACTTCTTGCCTGACTTTCCCTGGGTCGCTCGCATATAGTCAAGTCTGTCTTCTGTGAATGATTGCGAGTTTGACATTCCTCTCAAATGCACACTAGATCGTTGGCGTTGCTCTGGCGTCGCGGTGAATGTTTGCGGTCGTTTGGTAGTGTTGCATACATACAGGTGTTGGAGTTTTCTCGGTGGAGGATGTGAAACATTGGCGGAGCTTTTAGTTCACGTCCGCTGTCATCTCCGAGTGCTTTCCGAGCTGTCGCGTCGGCGCTGCGCTTGTCTCAATCAACAAAATATTTCGCCGTACGCTCACGTGAACATGCACGAATCTGGGCCAGCTGTCGGAAACAAGTCTGCTGGTCTCCTTCGGCATTTCGTCTTCATCACTTCATTAGCCTTCACCATTATAAGTATTATTTTGTTTTATGCACTCCATTTTTTCACAGGCATGTCTGTGTTTGTGCGGGTCGCTGCGCGGCTCTAACTAATTAAATACATTCAATGTTTGGAACAACTCTTCATGATGAGGCATCTTGAGGCTCATTAGTATAGGCTTACAATCTTTACACTGATAAAGATTGTTGCTCGCATTATACCTTCTGTAAAATACGCTATGTCTAGCTCACTGTAAGGTATTTGTAGTCTTAATCATATGCTTTTGTCTTTGTTTCTTCAATCATTGTTTCATTCGTGTCTATCTACAACAATTTCTGAATGCCTTGTACTGGAATGGGGTAAGTATTACGACTTAAGTCTCTCCTGTTGCGTAGACCATTTCTGCAAAGAGGTCCCCGCTGTCTATTTCTGCATAAGCGTCCTCTGAATAAGAGCAAGAATGTAAATGGACATGTTTTCTTGCTATGCTCAAACATGAAAGTTTTCCCAATGCACAATATATGGACTAACTTAGAATTTCATCAGTTTCGTCTAATCTGTTATTCTTTTACTATTCTCGGGACATATTATACTTAAGGTAATTAGCTCTAGCTTAGCTACGTGGCATTAGTCTGCTCTGATAAATAACTAGCTGGCGCTCTCTTTTTCTACATGGTGAGCATTTAAGTATTCTATCTCGGAACTCGTACTCGTCAAGGCCTTTCTATAGTCCGTGTTTTACGTACTTCCTGTCTATAGACATGACTTCCTCTCTGGATTTCCTCCTCAACTCGTCAATGTTTGGATTTAGAGGTTATAATTACTACAGTTCTGTAAAAAATTAGTTGTGCCCTGTGACTTTAACGTCCTGGTCAGGTCATTGTTTAATTCGTGTCTATCTACAACAATTCCTGAATGCCTTGTACCAGAATGGGGTAAGTATTACGACTTAAGCCTCTCCTGTTGCGTAGACCATCTCTGCAAAGAGGTCCTTGCTGTCTATTTCTGCATAAGCGTCCTCTGAATAAGAGCAAGAATGTAAACGGACATGTTTTCTTGCTATGCTCAAACATGAAAGTTTTCCCAATGCACTGTAGCGTCTGGACCAATCAGACACACCATTTTTCATTTGATTTAACAAATCAATTATTCATAAATTTTCCAAAGCAAAATATATTGACTAACTTAGAATTTCATCAGTTTCGTCTAATCCGTTATTCTTTTACTATTCTCAGGACATATTATATTTAAGGTAATTAGCTCTAGCTTAGCATGCGGCATTAGTCTGCTCTGGTAAATAACTAGCTGGCGCCCTTTTTCTATGTGGTGAGCATTTAAGTATTCTATCTCGGAACTCGTATTCATCAAGGCCTTTCTATAGTCTGTGTTTTACGTACTTTCTGTTTATAGACATGACTTCCTCTCTGGATTTCCTCCTCAACTTTTCAATGTTTGGACTTAGAGGTTATAATTACTACAGTTCTGTAAAAAATTAGTCGTGCCCCGTGACTTTAACATCCTGGTCAGTGTATGCTCATTCTTGACGTCTGCTTTTAAAGTCGTGCAAAATCTTCGTGTAAGGGCTTTCCTTATGCTTTTACAGGGTTCAATAGCTATTGAAGTTTAATCAGCTAGTAAGGCATCGCCGTGAAAGTGACGTGACGTGTGGCCAAGTGTGGTGACCCATGCTCGGAGTTGGTGCTCTGCATTTGTCCCATCCAAGGAGCACACGCACAGCGGTGGGCACGCGCACACCGTGGGCACGTGCCCGGAGTAGCGGGCAGCCATTTTGCTGCGGTGCAAGGGGGGCAGTTGAGGGTTCGGTGCCTTGCTCAAGGGCACCTCGGTCGTGGTGTTGGGGGTGGGAGGGAGCGCTGTGCGTTCGCTCCCCCCACCTACAATCCCTGCCGGTGCGGGACTCGAGCCTGCGGCCTTTGGGTTGCGAGTCCGACTCTCTAGCATTAGGCCACGACTTCCCCAAAAAGCGTTCTTATTTATTTAAGATTTAATTTTCTATCTCGTCCTAGTTCCATACATTCCTAATATTTCTTTAACTTGTATTTCATGCGATCTGGTTTCTTTGAAGGTGCACTCGTCGGGTTCCTATGGTTAAATAGAGTCTTGTCTGCAGAGTCTATCAAGCTTTCGCGGGAGTTAAGCCAGAGAATAGTTCTGTTTTACAGTTCCGATATTTATGCTTAAGCGTTTTTATGCTTTCTGCTTAAAACTTAATTACATTTGATCATTTTACTAACCTTGGCATTCCATTACAATGCAGTCATTTAGATTCCATGGCTGCAGATGCAGAGAACCGTGGCTCTCTCTTCATCTTTACACAGGTCACTCTTTTGGATCGGCGCTATCATGAACCCAGTATCTATCAAGCTGATGTATACACGGTCATTTGTATTTGAGTTCTAGGTAAGATTTGGCTCAATGCTCCGCAGGCATCTTAAGCTATAATCAAGGCTTGTTTAATTTTGCATCTACTGGTGGTGGTTCATTCGGTTTACTCATACCTATTGGCTTCGGACTTACTCTGCTATTGTGGCCTTCACATTACACGGACTATTGTGGCACTTTGCATAACTCTGCTATGGTGGTCATCAGGTTAGTTTGTCCATTACCGCTTATGAAGTTCGGCCTATCGTGGCCTTCACATATCACGGCCTATCGGGGACTGCGCTTAACATTGAGTATCTCTCTACTTATGATCATGCGGATCTGGCTCATTTCCTAATTTTGGGTGGCCTTCACATATCACAGCCTATCGGGGACTGCGCATAACATTGAGTATCTCTCTACTTATGATCATGCAGATCTGGCTCATTTTCTATTTTTGGGGGATAGGTTTCCTCTGCGGGTTCCGGCAGTTAGATGGAGTTCTATCAGGGTGCGCCGGAGTCTAGACTAACGAATGTTCATGTATCGGTGTATATGCTCTTTCTTAAGTCGGTGTTAGAACCCTAATACCACCTCTATCATTTAACCTAAACCAATGGCCTCTCTAACACAATGTGGTGGTTTAGTATTCCTGTAATCCGCCATCAAGCTGCTATATACATGATCGTCCTGTGCATCCTAGTTCCGTCAAGATCAGACTCTAAACTATTTCATGTAAATACTCAAGGTACAGTATGATACTCTTAGCAAACTACTGGTGGTGGTTACTTCTCATATGCTCCTCATGTCCAGTCTACCATGGCTTTTCACATACAATGGCCTATCGTGGTCATTTACACACGGGACTTTCGCATCACATAGCTTATAGAAACATGGCTTTCACATACAATGGCCTATCGTGGTCATTTACACACGGAGCTTTCACATCACATAGTTTATAGAACATACACAGGCTATCAATGTAATTGCAGCCTTCAGGCCTTCACTTCACATGGCCTATCGAGGATTCACATTACTCACCCTATCGCGGCCTTTGCTCAATTTGGCCTATTGCGACCATCAGGTAAGTGTGACTATTATTGTTTACGTAACTCTGCCTATCTTTGTCCTTCGCAAAATTGGCCTGTAATGACTTTTCTCATTACACGAACTACGCTGTCTTTGCGTTAAATGGCATAATGTGGCCCATCAGGAGAGAGCTCATACAGTCATTCGTTTGTAAATATTTATGCTTTTTGTTAAAACGTAATGCTGTATGTTTAAGGCAAATTAAGCAAATACTGGTGGTGGTGTCATACCTATTCATTACATCTACTCTTTCACCACCTCTTCCGGCCTTCCGTAACTGCTTTTAGTGGCTATCCTCGCTACGGCCTTTGTCGCCTTTCTCTCATGGCCTATCGGGGCCTTTCTCTCTGCGGCCGGTTCAGTTCCATTTAGTCACCTTTTAGAAGCTGCAGTCTGTCACCGCCTCAATACACCGGCCACTACTGCTGTTGAACGTGGAGTTCAAACATCAGCCTCAAGCTACTGGGAAGATGGTCATCCTCCGCATTTGAATCATACATTAGACCTGAACCACAAACCATCTCAAAGGTTTCAGCCGATAACATCAAGCTGTCCTTAAGGTCATCTATATGCAATTACTGGTGGTGGTATAATACCTATTCATATTACTCCCAACAACCTCTATGGTTTACTGCGCCTTAACTTGGCCTTTCTTTCTGTGGCCTGTCTTTTGTGGCCTTCCCCTCTGTTGACTATCTTGTGGAGTTTCCCACTGTGGCCTATTTACATGGCCTTCCTCTCTGTGCCCACTGAGGCATTTCATTCCACGGCCTCTTGGCTTTCTCACTATGGCCCTTCTGGGCGTCTCCATCCGTGGCCTATCTAGGCCTTTTTCTCTGTGGCCTTTCTTTGCGGCCTATCGGGGCCTTTTCCCCACTGAGGCCTAACATTGATACATTGATATAATGATACATTCTTTAACGCTCGTTGTACATTATGGCTAATTAAATCTCATCTTTTCTTTTCTTTTGTCCATATGTTCTAGGATCTTAAGAAATACTTCGTCTGGTGGGTATTTCATTTTCTTCTTTCTTTTGGGGGTAGGCTCCACCCTGCCTTCATCTTCGGCAGGAATAGCTGGAATCTACAATGTCTGATTCAAGCTACGGATGGGGCCTACACCAAAATAATTCTGTTCTTTGTATTGGTTTTGTAAATAAATACTTTGGAGTTCTATGTTCACCTCCTGAGTCTTTCTGGTAGAACGATTGATCTTAGCATTTAAGAGCGTTTTCTACGAGTCATTTTATTATCGTTCGTTATTGTTTCACGTGCATTTCCAAAAAAAGCACTTAACACAATCGCACGTACCTGTGCTTTAAGTGCTACTTAGGAGTCGCTATCCGTTCGTCAAGTGCTGAAATGTCACCTCATAGAATGGCTCGTAATTGTAGTACACGCTCGTTTATTGAAATGGTAACCTAATGCTGCGTTCCAGACAACTCCGATATAATAGCTATTGCAACTCATTGACAGATTTTTTTCCCCAGTCTTTTGAAGCATATTTCCTACATTACTTCTTTTATAAAAAAAATTTTTTCCGTTCAGTCATTTAATTTAGATGTGTATTTCAAATTTTTTCTGCCCTTTTTAATTATTTCATTTATGTCAGCAAGTCATTGACAGATTTTTTTCCCCAGTCTTTTGAAGCATATTTCCTACATTACTTCTTTTATAAAAAATTTTTTTTCCGTTCAGTCATTTAATTTAGATGTGTATTTCAAATTTTTTCTGCCCTTTTTAATTATTTCATTTATAAATTAATAAAAAAACAGAGTAATAAAGTGTACAATAAAGTGCAATCAAATCCTTATATTATAATCACATTGCACTTGACTAAAGTTAAAGGTGTAATCTGCCGATTGTCCTGCAGGTGACCTCATAACTGTCTTCTTACGCTGGACTCCAGAGCACTCGTAGATCTACGATGGTTTTCAAATGCTACTTAAGTTACGATGATTTTGGGAAACAGACCGTAATATTAAGATCAGTCGTACGATAATTTTTACGAACTTCTTAGGCTTACGAAGCTTTTGGGAAACGCAGCCCAGACCTTATATTCTATCGCCCTACACCAACCCTACACCTAAACCTACCCCTTACAGGAAACTTTCTGCATTTTTAGATTTTCAAAAAACTTCATTGTGTGATTTATTAGCTTGTTTACCCGTGGGGACCTCAATTTAGAGAATCCCCATGAGTCTGTGTGTATTCAGGTTTAAGTCCCCACCAGAATAGAAAAACAGGTACACACACACGCAGTGTAGATGAGAATGCTACTCACCACCTTCTCTAGCGATGACACAAGGCCATTCATTATTCTCATCTCCATAATTTCAAGCTTCTTCTTACCTCCTCCTGAAAATGTTAAAATAAAAATTTAATAGTTTTTAGCTATCCCTTCAGATTATTCTGAGAATGAAATGGGTCATAGAAAAGCTTTAAAGACATCTGGAGGCACCTG